CTCCGTGGGCAGCTCAGTCTCTCACATCTCCCTGGGATTAAGGGATTACCATTAATTAGCAGAGCCCTGCCTGCCTGGCCTGTGATACACTATCTTTCCATCAGAAAGAACCAGATGGAGCCGAATTTCCAAACTCTCCGAGATGGAAAGAGCAGGTATGAGATAAGAGCTGGGGGTACTGGGCGAGGCAGGAGGCCATGGATCATCAGAGAGGAAACCTAATTCTCAGTAATTTACTCTTTTTTTCTCATTTCCTAAAGAGAAAAGGCACGTGGGATGCCCCTCCTCTCTGCCTGGCCCCTGCTATTGGCTTTTTCGCTCTGTTTTCTTTTAAAGGAGATCTGTGGGGAGGCCACTGCCCTCAGAGCAACAAATCCCCGTAACAGGAGGAACAGACTGCCCAGAGAAACTGGGGATCCCTCACCCCTGGAGCTGCTCAGTGCCAGGCTGGATGGGGACCTGACCAACCTGTGGAGGGTGTCCCTGCCCTTCCAGGGGGTTGGAACAAGAGAATCTTTTATGGCCCTTCCTAGAGGAGGAAACATCAAACATGTTCCTTAGACAGCCTGGCCAGTCTTCCCAGGAGGGGAAGAAGAAGGTGTCAGACATAGCAGGAGTCCAGCTGATGTTGTGTTCTCACTCTTTTTTTCCCTCTGTATTAATTAAAACCCCAGACTTTCCTGAGGATAAGCTGGTTCAATTCACTTCACAATCAAAGTGCCAGCAGCATCAGGCAAACTGTATCCAAATCCAGGTACCTTAATGGAGCTAGAGGTCTGTCTTTGAGAACACAGAGCTGGCACTGAATCAGGCCCCAGGAGAAGTCCCCTGGGACAGCCCTTCTCCAGGGTTTTCCTGACTGAGAGAGGTTTCCCACCCACAACCTTTATGTCTAAATGAACTTTGCATTGCCCAGCCTCTCTGCCCTTGTGAACCTTTCCCAGTGGCACTTCCAGGTGTCACAGCCCACCCCATCAGCAGGAATCTGCTGGCTGTGCATCCCCACATCCCTGCCCTGTCCTAGACCCAGCACTCTGCGACAAAATTTGGGAGCACGGATGATTTGAGAGCAGGGAGAGTTCCTGTCCCTCCCCATTCTCACATCCCCACCAGCTTGTGAAGAACAGCTGGAGCAGGGATTGTAGCAGTTCATTCAGCTCCCAGTCCCATCTCAGGTTTGGCTCTTTGCCTTGCTGCTTTTTTCCCTAAAAAATAGCGTAGGCAAGGAGTGACTGGTTAAAAGCTAATTCCCCAGCCCTCTTAAATCGCCAAGATTAAAAGCTTTCTTCCTGATGGCTGCTTCATAAAAGACCCAAAAGGTTTCTACTCCTTTATTCCTTTAAAAAGGAATGCCTTATCTATTTTAAACCATTTGGGTTTATGGGTAAAACATGCAGCGACGCTCCGCTGATTTTCCATGAAAAAAAATGAGCTCCAAAAAGCACACCTGAGCAAAATGAGAAGTTTTGGCCAACTCCAGCCTTACTGTGAAGCCTCTCAGGCTTCTGAGATATGTGAAACCCCCCTGAAAACATGGGATTTCTGCTGGTTGGATGCTTTCAACCAGGTGAGGTGGCCCTTTCCTTCTTGGAAGGGCTACGGCTGCTCAGAAACCAGCACTTTTGGAACTTTACCCCAAGGATTCCGGGGCAGGAAAGGAAATACAGCAGGCACAGTCCTCTTGTGTGAGCCAAAAAAAGTGTTCCTGTTGCAAGGCAGGTGGAGCAATAACAAATATCAGGTAGGAGAAGAAGTGAGCCCTGCCGCCCCTGCTCATTTGTATGCACGGCGTTATTCCTTTTATTAAACAAAAATTCCCTCTCCAGAAATGCAGCCTGGCCCTGCTGGCTCAGGCCAGCTCTTGTTAAAATGATTATTAATGGTGCTGCACCTCTCCCTAATGGGAATGAATGGTCCAGCCACCCTTCAGTTCCACACATATTCCTGACTTATTCCTTCGGCTTCCTCTCGGCCGCACTATTCCCCGCAGCCTCCTTCCCCTGCAGCCCTGGAAGATCTGCATGTGGGTGATCCATCTTGGAACTTTTAACGCTTATTTTTCTAGAGAGATAAAAATAAACCGTTCCATTTGGATGAAAAATAGGGGATGTAGGCCCAAGCCCACCAAGGGAGAGGGAGGAGGAAAGGGGGGAAGAAGGAAGAAGAGTATTTTCTCCCTTTTCCCTGTATTTAAACCACAAAGGCATAATCCATCTCCCTTAACAGCCCCTCCCTTCCTAAATAAATAATTTCCTCACCGTGTGGAGCAGGGGGATGACAGGAGGAGGATCATAAGTCATGGAAAGGAGGTAAAGGCAGAGATCTCTCGGGGAGTTTCTCACGGAGCACCACCAAGGATCTGCTCTAGCAAGGGCACTTTGGCCAGAGGGAATTCCTGCAAAACCAATTTTTAAAGCAAGGACAACTCCCAAGCCCTTTGCATGGCTCTTCCCACATGAGTCTGCAGGGCCAGCAGAAAATGCATCCCTGTGGATAAGCAGGAGAGCAGGGGGAAAGGTGGGAACAAGAGTGAGGGCATTCCTCACCTCCGCTCCTGCCTCAGCCTGCCAAGTGAGGGTGGCTGCGTTTCCACTCCTGCTTAATCCCAGGGAAGGAGGTTGCCAGGGATGGGTGAGTGGAATGCAAGGATCTTCCCCCACCAGCTGCTCCAGCGTGGATCTGGGCATTTCCAAAATGCCAAAAGCTCTTTCAGACCTTCCAAACTAGAACGCACAAATATCACAAATCCCATCGGAATTCCCTGGGTACCACAAGCATCCCAAATCCCACAAACTCCTCACCCCGTGCCCATCTCCACACATCTTCAAAATACCTCAACCCCACCGGTCCCCTGGCATGTTCCCCCAGAGGCTGACCCCAAAATCACCAAATATCACCAAAAAACATGCCCCAAACAGGCTCTAAGGACTGGCTACAGGTGACCATCCTGCTCTTGGGGTTGGCATCGTCTCCATCACATCCCTGCCATTAAGGAGGAGATTTCAAAGAGCCACTTGGCTGCTGTGTCTTGGTTCTGATGAGCCAAAATATATGGGTTAAAACCATGAGGATTATGGATTTCAGCACAAGACCACTCCTGGAAAAAGTGAGCTGATGGAATGTAGCCCCAGGCAATGCTTGCAGGAACCAAGTGGAGCAGCTCCATGGCCCTGCTGGATCATGCTAAAACAGCCACAGGAAGTAGAGGATAACCTCTCTGCTCTCCTCCAGACTGACACCTGCTGAGAATTTCAGCTGAATTTTTAAAAGCTGGTTGCTTTGCATTTACTGTTTAGTTGCTTTTCTTGAATTTAAAAAAAAAAACAAAAAAACAAAAAAACCAAACCAAACTCAGCAAACCAAGAAAAAGGCCAACAAACTGGTTTGGTCTCCTGGTTTGCAGGGAAATCAAACCAGATTCCAGCCCAGTTTTGGCTGAAATTTGACCAGTGGTCAGTGCTGGTGGTTTCCAGCCACTGTCCAAGGGGTTGTGGCCGCATCCCTTCCCGGATTTCTCACATGGCTCCGGCTCCATCCCCACCTGCGGGCACGGCTGGAGGGATATTTGCCCACACGTATGTAAAAGTGATTACAGGCAGAAGCCTGGGGGATTTGTTTGGGAACAATGTTGTAATGAGCCCAAGGATAATCTGCTGCCCAGAGACAGGGATTTTTCCCGTAGGGATGGCAGCCACAAATTAGACAGTCACATCCGGTTATTTCCAGCGAGTTAACTCCCAAGGCCGCACCTCCGGCCCGGCCAGGAGGGGCACGGCCCAAATCCCAGCAGATGTGCCCCAAATCCGAGACGTTTCAGGTGGGGAAAGGGGCTGGCACAAGGATTTTTAATGGCCCATAGTGGTGGGAATTCATTACTCCGATAAGGCTCAGGGAGTTGGTGGTTTGAGCTTCAAACATGGCCAGTCCCTGGAGAAATTACACCATGTTCGAGCTAATCTTCTTATAAACATTGTTGTGGGTTTTTTTTTTTATTTTATCCGACATGTGTCAAGCAGGACCACTAAGCCTATTACATCTCCAGGGGGGTTGGTGCTTTCTCTTCTTCCTATCCACCCCCCCCCCCCATCTGAATGCTGCTTGTCTCATTTTTGGCTCCTTTGGACATTTCTCCATCAATAAAAACCAATCTTTTATAATTAGCACTGACGGAAAAAATAAATCTCAGTGGGTTTGGAGGCTCAGGTGAGATAAGCAGCCAGGTTCCAGCTAGATATCCAAATATTTTGGAGCTTGTAGGTATCTGAAATGAACAAAAAACTTGCTGGACCATCCTTTCTTCCTGTGTTCATTTCTTTTTCTTTCCTCTAAAAGGAAATCTCAAAAATGTCAAAAAATTTTTGAATTGAAATTTTTTAGAAAATAATTCAAAAATTTCTTTTTCTTTTCCTCAAAATAAACAGACAAAGAGTCAACTGGATATTTTTGTGTTCTCCAGGACAAAATAATTCAAGTTATTGGGAAATCCCTGGTTGGGTACTGCCTTTATCTGTGTTATTCCCTCTGTCTGAGTTTGCAGGCAGAAACAGGCAGGATTTAGACCACTGGAAAAGATGGTTTTAAAGGACAGCGTGATTACAAAGCTGATTTGAGCCTCAGGTTGAGGGATACATGTCAGTGAAGGGACATTTTTTCCTGAGATCTCTCTCTTCCCCTGGGAAGTTCACAGGAAGCCAATAGAAAGGGTGAAAAGGAGGTGTAAAAAATAAAACCCAAACCCTAAAAGATTTGTGCTGCAAATGGTCATTTTCTGAAGGAAGCATCTCTCAATGAGAAATAGGAAATGGAGAATTAGGAATGCCTAAGGAGTGAGAATCTTTCACGCACTCACTTGCATGAACATCACCCACGTTCACTCTGGAGACTTGGCTACAGAAAATCAATGGGAGCTTATCAGCCTGCAGCAGAGTTGGGACAATTAAACCTTTCCCTCTCTGCCTTTCTGTACTGGATTTAAGTTTTGAAGTTATTCTCACCTGTGGATGGAGAGAAAGAAACATCCGAGCCAGCATCTCTTACGGAGAGTTATCTCCAACACAGGCAGTAGCCCAAATTATTTCCGTGCCTAATCGTTGCCTTCTTTGTCCTTAAAAAAAATATAAAAAAATTAAAAACTCCTATCCTGGGAAAAGAAAAAGAGCTATTGCGCATTCAACTACATTTTCTTTGTTCTCCTCGCACACAAACTTCTGCACTCATGGGAAAACTCCTTCCCCAAAAGCCGAGCTTTTGTCATCGGGTTTTATTCTGGCACAGAGCAGAACTTTGCAGAAGGAGACCAGAAACCCAAAATGGGGCCTAAAGGACAAAATTGAGCCTGGATTTGGAGCTGTCCCCCAGATCTGTGCTGGGCTGGGGACAAAGTGAGGGACCTGCTACCAACCCAGTCAGTTGAAGCACTGGCACTCAATTCCACAGGAGCCAAAGGGTGTTTGAAGCCCCAGAGCAGCATCCAAACATATCCCTGGGGTTTTACTGAAAACTTGGCTGCCCCAGGTCCTTGGAGGAATGGAAAAACACTGAGATAAGCCAAATAATTAACAAGCTCAATAACTAAAAATGCAGTGATTGCCCTTCCTAGTGCCTGCTCCAACCACCTCCATGCGCAGGTTTGGGTGGATCACAGAGCTTTCTGGCAAGACATCGGCACCCCCAAGCCCCTGGCTGGTCTTTACAAGCATTTTCCATCTTCTGGGGACCCAGGCTGGAAGCAGAGGCTTCCTTTTTATTTATTTCATTCTTTATCTCCCCCCAGTCAAAACGGACAGTGCAGATAATCTGGGCTTACAGACCTTTGAAGTCAATCAGAAAAGACTTTTAACTTGAGCGAGCGGGACCCCAGGCCTCCATCTACCTGATCCGCAGGCTTTGCCAGGGATTTGGGCAAGCCAGGCTCCATCCACACGGACCTGGCTTTAAAGCCATCAGGTCCGAGCCCTGCCTTGGCGAGAGATCAAGCACAGCAGATTTCCTACAACCCTCCCGTCTTATCACACATTAGCCCCGTCCAGATGTCAGGCGCTCTCCCTCTGCTCACAATCCCCCTTTCCCATCTTCTTTTATCTCTCCATTAAATTGCTGACAAGACCTTGCTGGTGGCCCTTTCAGAAGTAGAGAGGATAAAAAAAAAAAAATCAACGGAATATTTCAGAAGTCCTTAGGGGAAATAAGAAGGGGGCAGAGGGAAGAAATCAAATAGGAGGGAGAAGGAGCCTGCAACGTTGTTACCATGCACAGAGCCCAGAGCCCAGAGCAAGCTCAGCATGCAGAAAAGCCTTAAAAAAAAGGCAAACCTGGTCACAGCCACCCCAAAACTCCAGTGTGGCATCACATCCCCAGCACAGCTAGCTGGCATGGAGGAGACCAGACTGTATTTTTTTAAGGGCAGGAAAAGGGAATTCATCTCTCATACCCTTCATGCCACTCTCCCCCAGCATTCCAGGACAGCTGTAGAAGAGTTCCAGCTTTACACTCACTTTTGAAGAGGTGACACTGCCGGCTTTCAAAGGACACCAGAGCAAGGGTGGCACAGGAGGTGAGTCCATCCCAGCAGCTGAAGGCACCAGAGGAGAAAACAACCCAACACATTCCCAGCTTTTGCTGACACGGCCAGAGCTATGTCAGCAGCAGCGTTCTGCGTGACCCAGCCAAAAAAACAGCAACATTGAGCAAACCCTCACCTTAATTTCATTTTGCTACCTGGGCTGATCATATTTGGCTCTTTATTTAACTGGTAGAACAAAAAGTTTTAGGGTCAGGCTCCTCACCTCCCCCAAGGTTTATTACATATTGTTTTCCTTTGTCTAAAGGCTCTGCAGTGCATTCTTAGCTGGCTGAATCCTGGAATGGTTTGGGTTGGAAGGGACCTTAAAGTTCATCCCACTGCTGGAAGCTCCATCCTTGAGCACTTCCAGGATGGGTCACCCATAACTTCTCTGGGCAACCTGTCCAAAATGCTGCCAGCTCTCCTGGCTAATGCACATCCAAACAGCTCTTTGCTTCCAGTTCCAGCAGGACAACGCCGCCAAAAGCATCACACCAGTAAAAAGTCGCGTGCAGAGGAGAGCAAGAGCAGGTAAGTCCTCGTTTTGACATGCAAAGAAGGGCCCCTTGGCACAAGCAGAGGCACTTGTTATTCACTTCTCAGGATTTGTTTTTTATTATTCCGCTTCTCCCAAAATTGCAGGAATCTAATCAGAGCGCAGAAGCCAGAGCGGGTAATGCCGGCCATCAGTCACACGCTCCGAGAAGGAATAACAAACAGCTGGAGTGACCGCTGCAGGTGATCCACGGGCTGATGCTGGCTCAGTGCCCACTGAGCAGGATCTCAGGCCCAACAAGCCCCTCAAGGCCATCCCAGATGCCGAGCCTTTGCCATCCCGTCAGTGCTTGGATAATTTAAACGCTCAGGATGCGGTCATGAGCCTCTGGATCGGGGCCGAGTTCCCTGCTCTGCCTGCCAGCACCTTGCTTAGGAGATGAGAAGAAAATTGATAAATATTAAAGAAGCCTCCTGCACCCTAGAATGACAGAAAAAGTTATTATGAAGTTAAAGTTTCCTGGTGTAAGAATGAGGCAGAGAACTACAGCACACAACAGTGATATTTAATTTTGCTGCAGACTTTTGGATCCAGCTGTGTGGAGCAACCTGGTCTAATGGGAATGTCCCTGTGCGTGGCAGGGGTTGGAATGGGATGGTCTTAAAGTCCCTTCCAACCCAAATGACTTGAGGATTCCATGCTGTAAATTCCTGTCTGGTCCTCATCTTTGGGAACATATTCCAGGTTGCAGCTCCAGCTTAGCTCTTCACAATGGCCATGCTCTTAAAAATACAGCATTGCATTTGTCTTACTTTACCTGTCAGGTGTGCTAGAGGCTTTCTTTCCCTTTGAAAAATAAGGGGACCACAGTTTTGGCAGAGCTGCTGGATTATATGTACACACAGAAATATAAACATGTGCTTCCTCCTTTCAGGAGGAATTTTGCCAAATGCTTCCACATGTTGCTTTTTTTTAAAAAAAAAACCTTTTTAGAAGTCTACCTGAGCTCTTGGTATCCCGTCTGACACTCCCAGCTGCCTTGGGATGCCCTCCCATGGTGCCACCTCTGCCCTGGGTTATGTCCTGGTGCCTTCCAGGGCTGAAGGGATTATTGCTGCCTCAGGATTTGGCTCCCTTCTAGCTCCCCCTGGACCTTCTCCTTGTCTTACACATCTGCACACACTGCTTCAAAACCTAAACCTTTCTCCCAGAGGAAGGAAAACTCTGGCTTCGCCCCCCTTGGAAAGCTGAAAAAAGCCTGTAATGTCTTCTCCAGGAAGCCCTGCCTGAGTCAGGGTTGGAATCACAGCCCTTGGAGAAACACACGTTCTGGTTTTCCAAGGTTATCCTCCCACCATTTGCATCCTGGGCCATGTTTCTGGAAAGCCATCCTTGAAAAAGCCGGGACAACACAAGGCAGAAACTGCTGTGCTTGTATCAACAACCCAGGATCAAAGAAACCTGGTACTTGCAATTGGCACAAACCCAAAGAAATCCCCAAAACAGCCTTCCTGTGGGACCAGAGGGGCTCTCCTGGCTCCACAGGGGCCACCCTGCTGCAAATTCCTTGTGGGAGAATCTCCTCTGTGTGGGAGTCACTCTTTGGGTGTCCCTGGGGCAGAGCAGAAGAAGAAATTTTTTGGGAAGAAGGCTGGGACCCCTTGAGAGTTCCCTCTTGCTGCTGTGCCAGCTCAGGGCGAGCAGCAAAGCAGCAGGAAAAGCGTTTCATCTGCAAATGAAAGGCTGTTTCCACCTCTAATTAACCCGAGGTCCTTCCAAGCACTGGAGTCAGGCTCTCATTAGCCAAGCCACGGCAGAAATTCCTGCTCCAGCCGCCTTGCAGTGGGATCTCCTCCTCCAAGTGGCCTCCAGGAGTGCTCCTCTCCTGGATGCCCACCCCGAGATGACACCTTGGCTGTCTCCTGGGGTACCATTATCTCCTGTTAGATCCTGTGGAACACTCCTGGTTAAAAATATGCAGGAAATTTAGGGACCAAACCAGCAATTAAGAAAATCCATAACCCTTGCAAGGGAAAGCTATCCTGAAACAAGATACACAGCACAGCGTCATCCCAAGGTCTTGGATAAAGATCTTTAAAAACTGGAGGCAATATTGTCATCCCCATCTAGATCTGGGGATGTTTCTCGAGGATTTTTAAACAGAAATGGTTAAAACCAACAAGTTTCTTTTTTTTGCTTCAGGAGGACCAAAACACCCAGCTTTCCCCAGCCTGGGCTAAAGGGAAGAAATGCAGGAAGAAAGTTAATCAGGTTGAGATCAAAGTGAAAAACCCAAACGAACCAGCAAACAAATCTCATCCAAACCCATACAAGCAAAGAGTGTGCTGTGACTCCTTCCCCCCACTGCTGTTCACTTTCATCCTCCTGACCTTCTCTGTTCCAGCCAGGAGGGAATAGGAATGTTCGAAGAAAGCTATTCCTGCGTTATTTTTAGCAGAGCCAGAAGAAAAGTGACTGGAAATAATCCATGAAAGCAAGCTTTCACCTTGATTTTCAGCCTCTGGAGACTTCGATAGCCTTGATAGCAATCGCAACTTAACCATAGGCGTAGAAAATGCTGAGTGATACCAAGAGCATAAATTGAGCTACCCTTTTCCTTTTCCTTTCCTTTCCTTTCCTTTCCTTTCCTTTCCTTTCCTTTCCTTTCCTTTCCTTTCCTTTCCTTTCCTTTCCTTTCCTTTCCTTTCCTTTCCTTTCCTTTCCTTTCCTCATTAAAAACCTGGTGAACCATCGAAGTGAGACTTCCCCCCACCAACCCATGAATTGGTGACCACACCACAGCAGGAGAAGGGAGAGCCAGGTTTGGTTGTGTTTCAGCCCAGTCATGCAAGAGAATTCTACATTATAATGGAATGCATTTAAAGCAGATGCTGGTTTTGGAACCTTCCACAAGTGTCTCATGGGAAAAGCCACTCTTTCCCAATGGGAATTAAGAACACATCTTCTGAACAGCCTGCTCTAGTGGGAGGTGTCCCTGCCTATGGCAGGGGGTTGGAATGAGATGAGTTTTAAGGTCATTTCTGACCCAAACCATTCTGGGATTCTGGCACTGACTGATGGCACAGGGACCTTGGTGCTTCCCGGCCTGTCCTGGCCCACAGGCACCAGCCCAAGCAGCCACTGGTGGGCCACAGGCCTCAGCTGCATGTCTGAGAGACCAAAGGAATTAATTAAGAGGAGCTGCACTCCCAAGGTGCTGATAATAAGAACAAAATGAGGGCTGATCCCATTAAGTCAATCTTCTCTGCTGGTTGCTGCCATCTGACGTCTCCCGCGTTCCCTCGCTCCGTGCTGCCTGCTCCCGCTGTAGATCTAAACCCACTTTATTTCTGCTGATCCATTTCAAAGTGACCACAACCAGGAGACTGATTCAGGGGTTGGGTTTGAAAAATCTATCGCTTCCCCAGGCTGTTCCCACCATCAGCTTTTCTTCTGCTATCAAACACCTCCTCTTCCCTCTGCGGCCGGGGCTGCTGAGAGCATTTCTTCCTGGGCTGGCTGTCCCTGGGCTCTCACCCAGACCAGAGGAACCAAACCCCCCTAGCCTGGTGCTGCCACATCCCCATCTCCTCCTGCTTTCAGCCTGTGCACGAGTTTAGCCACCAGGCCTGGGCTCCAGGCTGGTTTTCCTCAGAGCAGGAGATGCAGGATGAGTCCTTGGCACGGAGCAATTTCAGTTTTTGTGGAGCGAGGGAAGCCCAGCCCTCTGGGGAAACCAGCACAGACTGGTTTGCATCCAGTACAGTCGGGCCTGCTGCTGCCTAAAGGGGACTTGACCACAACTGGCTGGGCCCAAAGAGCCTCAGAGAGAGTTTTGGTCCCAGGTGATGGCTTTTCTTTGCAATCTGCATCAGCCCAACAACCGAGAGGCCACGCTGAGCACTTCCACTGCTGGAAAACTGTCCTGGGGCAAAGGAGCCAAGCTGAAAGCACACTGTGGTGTCATCACCTCCTTGTGATGGGGAAGAACTGCTCTGGAGCAGAACAAACCCCTTGGAAGGGGACAGCAGCTGGAAACCTGTCCCTTTCCATCAGCCTGGGGAGAAGGAGTTTTCCTCAGAGTCATCCTCTGCCTTAGAGGAGCTCCCCAGGGAACCACAAACCTCATCCACACTCCCCTCACCCTGACTGGGAACAGCCAGGGCAGCTGCAACCAGCAAGTAGAGAGGCATAAAAATAAAAATAATAAAAATAAAATCCCACTTTGCTGAGTTTTAAAGCATTTCCCTGGATCGAAGAGGCTCTGGTGAGTGTTGTCATGGCAGGGGATATTTATTGCCATCTCAGGAAATGTTTCATTATTCTTTGGTAAGTGGTGGCCGTGAATTTCAGCCTGTCTGCCTGGCCATAAAGGGGACCACTGGGCAGATTGTATCCAGCAGCCAGGCTCTGCTGAGGGATGAAGCATCGCCTCCCAGCTCCGAGGATGCTCCTGCAAAACCCTGGCTGGGTCCCTCTGCCGTAGGGAACCAGACCCAGATGCCACAGATCCCCTGGGGAGAGGGCGGCCGGGCAGCCAAGCAGGATGAGGGGCTGTTCCCGAGGGGTTTGCAACAGGGGGAAAACACCAGCAGCTCCTTCAGCACCTGGTTTAAATACTCACAGGGGAAATGATGAGTTGAATTCTGTGCTTGGCCAGTAATGCTGTTCCAGGGGCTGTTTCTGTCCACTCAGAATCCTCAGGAAGCAGCTCAGCAGGTCTGGATGGAGGTGGGATGAGCCTCTGGCAAGGCTCCCTTTGTCTTCTCACACCAACTGCTTGGGAACAGGATGGGGAGAAACAAACATTTCATCTCTTTTTTTTCCCTCTATGAAAATACCTAGCCACTTTCCAAGTCTCTGTAAGCCTCCAGGACCTAAAATTTCCTGTGGCAATGAGTCCAACTCTTTAACAGGCCACTGGGTGAAGAGTTTGCCTTCACTTTTTGGAACTCCTGGAGATCTTCCCTGTATCTAGAACGGAAGGAATGGCATCCAGAGGGCCAGGTGGAGAGGTGGGACTGTGTGACCCTCATGAAGTTCAACAAATTAAGTGTCCCAGGCCACGCTGGACAGGGCTTGGAGCAACCTGAGACAGTGGAAGGTGTCTCTGCCCATGGCAGGGGGCTGGAATTGGATAACCTCTATCCAAATAACTTCTTCCATGCCAAACCTTTCCGGGATTTTCTGGTACTCCTGATTCCAAGTGTTTCTTGAACTAAGCCATCATTGCTGAGTAATTCTTCAGCTTCACAACACAATTTCATGTCTGTCCCTTCCTTTATCAACCCTTGCCTTCTATGGATAATTTTCCAGGCTTCTTCCCACCCATTTTTTGTGGAGTACTCGCAAGTTACTCAAGGCAGGAGATACCAGACACTCATTAAGCAGCACAATCACATTCCCCATTTCAGCCTCTCTTACCTCCCTGGATTTTTTTGGATTACTGTGGACCAGCAGTGTCATTTTGACAGCTATTTCCAGCATAACTCTCAGATCTCCTTCCCAAGCCAGTTCAGAGCCCAATGATTTCCCCCCTGTGCATTGTTTTTTATTCAGCAGCCTTGAGTTTCATCTGCCATTTTATTATCTGCTCACTAAATATCATAAGGTCCTTTTCCCACTCTTGGAGGTTGGCTGTATTTTAATATTTTTGGTATTAACTAAGCATTGCCATGAAATGTTATTACTTCCTTTATTATTTTCTCCCAGGCCCACCTGGTCTCCCCAAATTCAGGGGACTGATGCACAAGAAAAGGCCTGTCAATATTAAATTGTCACTAAGTGCAAAAGCATCTTCTGAAGGCTCCACAGAGTAGAGGATTTGGGTGACAAAGTCACATCTACCACCATGCACAGTGGCTTTGTAGACAATAATGTTGTTGAATTTCAGCATAGCCAACACAAGCCAAAATGAGAAAAAGACTCCCTAAAGCAAGCAGACTTTTCAAATTCCTTGTAAATTCTCCCCTGGAATTCTGACTGCAGTGTTTACCAGCAACTCTGTGGAAGTGGGGGATCTCAGAGCCTGGGGAGAGCAAGAGGGGAGGGAGTTAGCAGAGCAAATTGAATGCAGCAAGGAGCAAACAGAGACTCAGGATTTAAAGGGTTTCACAGCATGGAGGTTCTGGGGCTCATCATCTAAAATCACGTTTGGTTGAGGGGTTTGTTGTTTTTTTGTTTGTTTTGAAATACATATCCAGTGGCAATGGATTCTTTAAAGCATCAGGCCACAGCAGGAAAAGGCTGTCCCTGATGAAGGCTCCTGTTCTCTCACTGGAGGGATGAACAGGGAAAATCCCTTTTTTCCCCAGCTGACGGAACGTGCCACCAGCATGTCCAGCAGTACAGAACAGTGGAAGCACTGGAAATGGAAACAGCAAAAGGAAAATGCTCCACAGAAGGCTCTGTCTTTGTTTATGGCCCTGCCAAGCTCTCTGGTTCCCTGGTTTTCAGGAACAGCTGTTTTCCAAACCCTTTTGGCCAATGGGCCATGGACTCCTTGGAAAAGTGCCCATTAAAATGAGCCATGGGCCCTCCATTAGCCATCCCTCAAAGCCAGGTGGGAGAAAATAGTTTATTAACTGCTAAAGGATGACTTTCCTCTATAATGAACCTTTCTGCAGTATTGAAGAAAAGCCATGTCTTACTTTCCCTTTCCTAATAAATGGCTTCTTCACAGTTTAATTAACTTCTCCCTGCTCTTCTTTTGTGGCAAAGTGTCACCCTGACCAGGAGACAAACTCTGTTTGTTCCTTTATCTGGGAGAGCGCTGGCCTGTCAGATAAACCACTCTGCCTAATTTTCTGGGGCTTTTTCTCTTCCCACTTTGCATATTCCAGGGAGGGTGGCAGTAATAACAGAAAATGATGCTTTTGGGCAGCTGGGATTGGGAAGGAGCATCTCCTTAAAATACAGCCTGGACCATATTCCTGAGTGCTGGCAGGGGCTGGGAATGGGGAACCATCTCACAGACCCACCAGAAACTGGGTCAGGCTCTCTGCCTGCTCCCTTTTTTTCCTTAGGCTTGAAAACAAACCAGGAGGAAACACTTTTTGCCCTTCCAGGAGTACAGGATTTTGTATTTTCAGCAGGGCTTGTCTGTCCCCGTGTGTGTGTACAAATATAGCTCAAAATCAATAGGAGTGAGATTAGGTCACTGTATTTCTGAGAAATGTGCTCCTGATAGCTCATAAACCCAAGCAGCTCCTGCTCCTCCACTCTTCCTGTGGTGCTCCAGGACCGGCTACGTGTGCCAAGACAGCGGCACAGCCTGGAAAAGGCGAGGGCTGCTCTCTTCCAAAAAAAGGGATGAATCTGGGCCAAGTCAAGAGGGACCATCACAAACTTCTGCTCTGGCTCTTCAGCTCAGCTCTCAGCCCATCCCACAGCAGAAGGCAGGAGCTCCAGAACACCACCTGGAGAAATAGGTGGCCTTTTCCATGCAGTGCCTGGGCTCCTTCTTGGGAAAAGATGGCAGGGCCAGCCTCGTTAAACACGGGCCTGAGCGGCGCCACTTGATTAATTGTGCCAGGCCAGGAGCAGCCAGGGACTTTTGTGACACCGATGCAGTAATGGTCTCCAGCACACAGACAATCCCAGAGGATGTGTCCTTCCTACCCAAACAAAATTAATTAATGGTGGCAATAAATAAACCGCCCCAGACAAACGGGAGCATCCGAGCAGCAGAAGAAAAAATAGGGAAAGGAGAACGTTTTGCAGCACGTTTCTGGGGAAGGAATCAACGGGGAAGGGCAAACACTCACTTTTTTGGTGGATATGCTGGGTGAAATGGGGCTGCAGGAGGAGGATGGGCCAGCACGGAGCATCCCGGGGGAACAGCAGCAGCTGTGGCTGACCAATTGTCCCTTTTCTGTGCTCAGCATAAGCTCTGCCACCAGGTGCAGGGGCACTCCAAGGGCTCTCCTCCTCAGCCACCATCCTGTCTGCTCTGCCCTGCCTCCTGCATGCAGCTGTTTCTTCCCACCTCCCACACCCAAGACCGCAGAGTGTGGTTGACAGCGACTGTGATCCATCACAAGCAAGCCCTGAACGATTGCAGGGCCCGATTATCAGGGCCTGGCGTGCCCTTGTGCTCACTCCAGCCCTGCCTGGGCATTTCCTTGGATCCCCAGACAGAGGTCTGGTCACCTGGAGCAGCTCTTAGGCACTCCTAATTGGCACGTGACCGAGTGCCTGCCACACGCTGGTCAATACCAATTAGCACACTTATTAAATGAACGTGTGTGTTGGCAGCAGTTATCTAATTACCTTAACAGGGAGAGGCATCAAACCCTGTGGAGCAGCAGGAAAACGAGCTGCCCTGGGATAAGGGATGGGACAGGACTTTTGGAGCAGGTCCAGGGGGGAGCCATGAGATGATTAGAGGGAAGGAACAGGTATCCTATAGGGAAAGGCTGAGAGAAGTGGGATTGTTCAGCCTGGAGAAAATTAGGAAGAACTTAGAGCCCCTTTCAGTGCCTAAAGAGCTCCAAGAGACGTTGAGAGGGACTTGGACAAGGGCATGGAGTGATAGGGCAATGGGGAATGGCTTCCCACTGCCAGAGGTCAGGGATAGACGGGATATTGGGAAGGAATTCTTCACTGTGGGGGTGGTGAGGCCCTGGCACAGGTTGTTCAGAAGAAGATGTGACTGCCTCATCCCCAGAAGTGTGCAGGTTGGACAGGGCTTGGAGCACCCTGGGAGGTGCCAATGGCCATGGCAGGAGGTTTGGAACACAATGAGCTTTAAGGATTCAACCCAGAGCACTCCATGAGTCCCTGAAATCCCTGCTCCCTGGGAGGTGAGTTTGCTGAGCTCCCACCACTTCCAGGGTAAAGCAACTCAGGCCTTTGGGGTTTTCCTTCTGCAGAATTAATTTCCTGGAAGCCAGGAAACAGGAGTAATGAGAGAGGCCAGGACACCTGGAATTACGTTTGCCAGGCTTTTTATTTATTTCCTTTTTTTTTTTGCATATCACCCCCAGGCTGAGCTTAGCCTCTGGGTACCACTGTTATCAGAGAGCAGGCAGGGGGAGAGCTGTGACTTTGTGTTTGTGCCTGGGAACCAAAACAGACCCTGTGCACTGTTTTAATCTAGTGCTCATGAAAGTCTGCAATCCTGCTTTCTTCTTTTCCTTTTTCCCTCCTTGGAATTGGTATGGCAGAGCCTGGCTGGTGGAAGCTTCTCTGCCTTTCATGTCAGGGCTGGCATGGAATCATAGAATCACTGAACGGTTTGGGTGGGAAGGGACTTCTAAAACCATCTTGTTCCACCCCCCTGCTATGGGCAGGGACACCTTCCACTGTCCCAGGCTGCTCCAAGCTCCATCCAGTCTGGCCCTGGACACTTCCAGGGATCCAGGGACAGCCACAGCTGCTCTGGGCACCCTGTGCCAGGGCCAATCACTCCTCCCTCTGCAAGGGAGAGGGCCACTCTTATGGGTGGAGAAGATGCCAGCTTTGCATTTTCAGAAGTGAAAATGAGCAAGACCAGAGGGTTCCAGCTGCTACAACAGACCCAGAGCACAGTAAGGGCCTGGGTGAAGAGGGAATAAAATCTGTGATCCCATTGAAGCAGCACCCAGCTCTACTCACCATTCTGACTTTCCTGTCCAGCCTTGACCTTTTTTTCCCCCCCTCTCCATTTTCCTTAAGTTTCTCCATCCCTTGGCAGGCAGGGAAGCACCATCAGTCCTCTCCAGCACGCTGCTCACACCCACAGCTTGATCCAGGATGGATGGAGGGCATCAGTCTGCTGAGTCTACCACATATCAAATGCAAGCAGCACACTGAGTAACTCATCTTTCCTGCGTGCCTATTAAGCAAAAATTAAAAGAAAATTACATGGGGAAGTCAGCAGCAAGTAGGAGGGGATGGGTTGTAATTATCTGGCTATTAATTGGCGTGAAGCTCCAGTTTAATGCTCTCAGGTCCATGTCGCCATTTCCTAGGGAAATTTTCTCTCTATTAGATTTGGATGAGAACTGGGATTCTGTCTGAGTCCACCCAAAAAGGTGACTTTCAGCTTCAGTCCCCCAGCAGGTTTTTGTTTTCGTATGCTGAGGGACGAAATTTAGGGGTTGTTTCTAACACAGCTTCGTCCACCCAAGGTGGAGGTGGGAAAAGCCAAGTTTTAACTTTTACCTTTTTGGGGTAAAAACCTTAAAGTTACCTTTTTTAACTTTCACCATCTTTTGGATGAGGATAACCAAGCACGACCCTTTTAAAATTCAGCCCACATGGAAATGTTCGCTCCAAACACAAAATGCAGAAAGGAAAAATAAAATACGAGTGGAGGGGATTGTTCCCCCACGGCTTCTGTCAGCCCTGGGAATTCCCTAGGGAGAGGTGAGAGCCTCCTGCCCAAGCGGCTGCTCGTCAAAACCTGCCAATTAAACAGACCCAAAATGTTCTGAGCCGCGAGCATCCATCAAACCCCGTGGAGACTTTCAGGGAGTGATGTGCAGGATCCTGCCAACTCACCTGGCAAGGGACCAGGCAGCCCATCCTCCTGCTCCGTGCTGCTCCTGTTCCTCGCTGCGCTGCGGAGCAGGGGGGAGCTGCAGATGTTTGCTCTTGAACCAACACACACAGGTATTCACAGCTCTACACAAGAGGTGGCAAGAGTGGCCTTTCCTCCTCAGGAATCCCACAGGCAGCTGGAAGAAGCTGGAGCAGCAGGTGAATCTGCTGTGCTGTTACAAACTGGGGGCAGGAGGGGGAGGAAATAAAAGTTTTTCGATTTTTCGTCACTAAAACAAGCGATTTATCCACGGATAAATCAAAGCGCTCTCAATTTTTTCATCGAATTTCCTCTGGAAGTTTCCTTCCAAGGGGGAAAGACAGGTCAGCCCTGCTCTGGTGGATACAAACACCCTTCAGGGTGCTCTTGCAGCCCCCCAGCAGCAGTTGTGGGGGACCTAAAGATTTATCTTTAAGCTACAGCCCCTTCTCCTTCCATCCCCAAGCAGGAGAAAAGCTTGCTAAAGTGAACTCAGGAAAAAAAAATAAAGGAAAAAGGGGAAGTAGGGGTGAAATAGGGAAACAAGAAACACCAGGGGGAAAAGGAAAACAAATCCCAGGAAAGAGGAAGGAGGGATTTTATTCAGTTCACAGCTTGGCAGCTCAGAGCAAAGAATAAGGAATTCTCTCTTCATGCCATGGTTCTGCATGGACTGCAGTAACATGGAACTTTAAATCTAAAAAAAAAAAAAAAAGCTTCCCCTATGGCTAATTGCCAGCATTCCAAACCCTTAAGAATTTTTAAAAATTCTGGTTTTCTCTCCATATCCCACTCCAATTTCCAAACATAGCAGAGCAAATTTTTCTGCTACACCAAGGCCTAGGAATCTTCTCTGTCACCTGGCTGCAGCAGCCAGAGCCACGAATCCCTGCACATGGCATGGGGGTTGGGATGAGATGATCTTTAAGGTCCCTTCCCAACTCACACCATTCTGTGACTCTATATAAAAAAAAAAAAGAGGATTTTATGAAACTTCAGAGAAAATCCCCAGCACACTGCTCTGGAAAAGACTCTGCCACTTGTCCCAGAGGAGTCATTCCCTTAAAATTTTTTAATTATTTTTACTCCACATATAAGTTGATAAGTTACTTTTTCTGTATGGTTTTGTACCTCAGCAGAGAGAAAGGAAATACCAGTGCCACCATCAGAGGTACCAACAGCTGTGTCCACCCAGGATGGGGATTTGCTGGTGGATTCAGAGCCTGCCAGCTCTGAAAACATCCAGCATCCTCGGGCTCCAAAGGTGCTCTGGCACCTGCTGGCAGAGGAAGGAGCCTTGGGAACGTGAGCTGGGGAACACAGCAACAGTGGGAGTGGGAAAAGGCCACAGGACTCCCCATGCTGGGAAAAGAGAATCAACCCCAGCAGCCAAGGCTGAGTCAGAGCCCCCTCCAGCCCCATCAGGAGTGACAGGGTAGCTTTGATCCACGGGCAGCTGCGGAGCTGGAAGGGATCCGGGGAAGGAAGATCAATGTGCCATTAGAGAAAGCACCCAGGGCTGCCAGTCAATACCTTGGAAAGACCTGTGACAGCCACACCAGCAACCTGCTGCTACTGACAGAAGAATGACAGGCTTCAAAATCCAGCAGCTTCTGCTTCCCTGCTCCCCATCCTGAGTAAATTAACCCCAAATCTCCTTGTTTACCCTCACCCCTAATAAGCTCTCGTGGCTCACAGAAGATGGTATTCCAGGCTCTTTCCTGAGCAGGCAAGAGCCTTTGTTCCCTTTCATCCTGGGAAAAAGAAGGGTTTAGATAATCTCAGGATGCCAGAAAGCAATTTATTTCGACCTAGACTGTTTCTGCAATGTCATCTCTTGGCTCCAGCACGTGGGAAGCTCCGATAGCTGGCACTGACAGCACACAGGCCCGATGGGGCTGCGTGTCCCGGGGACACTCCTGTGGCTCTGTGAGTGTGTGAGCCTGGAGGGGGACAACAGCTCAGTGCCCAAACAACACCCTCCAAAGGTCTGAGCTGCAGGAGAGCTGGGCACAGCAGTGGGGAGTGAGGGGTTATACCGGGCACTGCACTCCCCAGGTCCCTGATGCAGACATGGAAGAGACTCCAGAGGGAATCCTGTCATATAACCATCACCGAATGGTTTGGGTTGGGAGGGACCTTAAAAATTACCCAGTTCCACTCCCCCTGCCATGAGAAGGGACACCTTCCACTGTCCCAGATTGCTCCAAGCCCTGTCCAACCTGGCTTTGGACATTTCCAGGGATCCAGGGGCAGCCACAAATTCTCTGGGCACCCTGTGCCAGGGCCTGCCCACCCTCACAGGGAACAATTTCCTCCCAATATCCCATTTAACCCTGCCCTCTGTCTGCATGAAGCCGTTCTCCCTTGTCCAAAGTACCTCTCCAGCCCTTCTGTAGCCCCTTTAAGTTCTAAAACACTCTAAAAGGCCACAATTAGGTTGCCCTGGAGCTTTCTCCAGGCTGAGCAGTCCCAAATCTTTCACTTTTCTTACAGGAGAGAACCTCTCCTCATTAGAGGCTCCATCCCTCTAATCACCTTCATGACCCTCTCCTCTGGACTCCCTCCAACATCCCATTTATCCCAGAGCAGCACCAGCTCCATCCCAGTGATCCATAAGGCACACTCAGTCCTTTCCCCCTCAGCAGGAGGAAGAGATTTGAAGTGATGGAGTCTCACTGCTCTTCCTGAGCCACAGGCTGAGTTCAGCTCTCTGTCTCCAGAACGTTCTTGGCACCTTCAAGCCTGGAAGGTTTCTTTAGAAAGGAAAAGCAAAATCAGAGAACTTCACAGAGCAGGAGAGAGCTCCAGCTGCTGAGGCCCTCTCCAGAACAGCACAGTGTCAGTGTGTGTGCCCCTTCCAGCTGCCCCAGTCTGGCTCCATCGTTCCCTGGTGCAGACACACCGAGCCATGCGTGACAAGTTTTGCTGCAATCCAGGCCAGGAGCACCAAAAAGCAGCAGTCACTGGTGGGAATCCCTGCTGCAGACCCCCAATATCCCCCTCACTGCCCAGCACAGCTTCTTAGCTCTGCCCCACCCTGGCTGCTCAGGGATTGCCATAACTCATCTCTCTGTCAGCAGGGAGTATTTTTAAATGTCTTCCTCCCTGCAGGCAGGCAGAAGCCTCCTCTGTTCTTCCCAGGCAGATTCCTTTTTTATTATTATTGTTGTTATTTTTCCTCTAGACGAGGAGTTTAAATCATCCTGTCTCCTTTTAGGGTGGGGGAATGACAGTCAGGGGGCAGCCCCCAGGAAGAAATTCTGAAATTTTTGTGGCAGGCAGTCAGGAAGAAGAGCTGAAACTTTCTGTGTCCAAACTTCTGGTTCAGAGCACAAAGCAAAGCTTGTCTTGCCTTTCCTTCCCGAAGTTACATAAAAATAAACCCAGGCTCCCTCCTTCTTTTTGGCAGCCAGCAGCACATCCTGCAGAGCAACCTCTTGTCCCGAGACTCTTCCACTGGGCTGGGAAAGGAGAGGAGAAGCTCAGGCCATTCCCTGGCTGGCTCCCACTGAGCCTTCCTTCCCTCCGTGTACTTCCCAGCAGGACGTTGATGTGGACAGGCATCTGGAAAGCCTGCAAGAGTTTCATCAGTGCTTTGTTTTGTTCTGTACTTTCCAGGCTCGGGGTGTTATTACCACGCTGCTTTGGTTGTGCAACAGCCCCACAGAAGGCACTCTGGCTGCTTTGAAGGGGGAGGAGGAGCTGGACCACTACAGAGCCACCGAAATCCCTGCGGTTGCTGCCGTCGCTGAAGGCCCACCTTGGATGTGTTGCAGTAAGTCAGCAGAAAGCAAATAAACAGGCAGACAGGATAAACAGGCTCTGCAGCCTGGTGTTCCCTGAGAAAAGTGTGATTTTTTTTTTTGGTGCTGTTGTTGTTGGTTTTCCCCCTAATGCCCATCACTTTGTCAGCAAGTCTGTGTGCGCTGGGGCACTGTCTGTCTCCTGCAGACCCAAACCGCTGACAGACAAAACGCTCGCTGAGCTGCCTCCACTGTGGCTGAGAAGCCTCAATCCCGGTCACAGAGACGGGGACACCCTGCCAGGCAGCTTCATCCCTTGCTGCAAACCCAGCTGCCAACACCTGGCCCCCCAACCTGCAGGGACCCCCCTCCCTGCCCATGTCCCAGGGTGACAGAGCTCACGCCCCCCCAAAACGAGGGGCACGGAGATCCAGCCACCTACTCTGGATGCTCAGAAAACGCTCCATGGAGACGTCCTGAGACCTCTGGAATAAAAAGCCCAAGGGCAGAGGAGGCCTTGCTCTGGGCTGATGGTTTCGTTCCCCTTTAAAGACCTGTCTGTG